GTGCGGTGAATTTCATTTACCTGCTCATGACATAATATATCTAGTTGCTGAACCAGTTGGCCCTAAAGATTATACGTGCAATACTTAATAAATGGATGACAACGAGACGTGAAGTCAAGATCTTATATGTCCATTAATATTCTTATATATGTTTATTTAATTTAAAATTATCCATTGATATGCCTTTACGATATGATGGTTTGTTTCAACATATCAATCTTGACTTGTATGCTTCTTTGAGTCTTAAGTCCCTATTTGACCCCATTTTTGTAAAATTCATTTTTCCTAAATTTATTTCCGATCACATATTTCATAGGATTCAAAACTTTTATCAATTTTTAAATCGTACATTTCATCTATTTTTATCAAAATCTACTAAAAATATAATTTCTAGCTACGCCAAACAAGGACTAAGTGCTTGTTTGATAAACTTGGCTAAAATTTTATCAACTCTTCAATGGATCAAATTTTAACTTTATTTGGACATTTAATAAGATCCACAACTTTTATCAAAATCTGAATCAAACAACCCCTAAGACTTGAGTTGGGGTTCTCTGTATGGATTATAATTTGTAAAAGCATTTATTGAATTTGATCCTTACTAGCTAGAAGTTTAGAGTTGTCTAAGTTACAATTTAAGTGGAAGTACTTAATAACAAGTTACATTAACATGTCGACATAGTAACGTCATTCCTCCACGTGATCACAATGTCACCTTTCCATTTGAATTGTCGCCTAAGAATGCTAAGTATGATTGAGTTTGTGTTGATACTAAGCTTGACCATATCAATTCGTACACCCAAGTTATTTGATCACTTCTATGACGTATAGATCGAATGGTTAATCTCTAGATCATGTGGTTCCTTAGTTATGTGGCTAAATAAAGTGGTTGAGCTCCAATTCATCTACACCAATTTTTAGTTGGTAGAACGAATTAAAATTTATAGGAAGCACATTTTACTAACATCGGTGACTATCATTCATCTACAATATATCACACTCGGAAAAAAAAAGAAGGAAAATTTATTATTTGACTTTAAGAAGCTTACTTACCTTGATCGTCAAAATTTATTATGTTTAGGCTCCACATTGGTGTCACGGGAATAGTTCTCGAACATTTATGCCCGTTTGACCTCCATTAATTTTCATTCCATTACATTTCATTTTTCTCTCTCTTATTTTCAACTACACAATTTTCAATAAAATAGTTTTACGTGTAAATCGAAAACTTTTTCTTCTTTTTCAATTACTCATTTTTCAGAAAAACACTATTTTACCCATTTTCATTTCCACAAAATGGGGTCAAACGGGATAATTATTTTTGCCGAGTTTTCTCCCATGACCCAAGCCTCCAAGGCCACATGTTCAGCTCGTGGTCTTAATGTTCAAGTAAATGGTGGCTAAAAATAGTTGACACTTATGGGGCTTGCACGTTTTAATAGGATCGAGGAGACTATATGGTAATCAAAGCCCATATTGTAAAATTTAGGTAGAAATTTAATTTAAATTTATATAAATTAAAAAATGGTTTGTCCAAATAGGTTTCACATTCATTGAAAATAGTTGATGGAAATAATGAATTCGCCTTATACTCCGATGCTTAACTCAAAAAATATATTTGAAATCTGACCTCGACCATCTAACTTTGGGAGTTATATGATTAATTAACTTAAATATTAGTACACTAGTACTTATCAACTATATCGATATTAAAGTCATTTCACATAACTATAGAGTCACATGTATATTTGAATTGTTACATTACGCCTCTGTTTGACATTTATTAAATTAAAATATTTATTTTTTTCAAGCTCATTTTCAACCACATTCACACAATAAAATATTTTATATCGGAATTGAATGATTGAGCTCTAGCCCATTTATACTGTTTTTAGCCTTTGGAACTAATTGTTAGAATAATTCCAAATATGAGATTCACATTCGATTGTAAAATTTCACGGGTTAGATGTATAACTCACAATGACATTATGATTGGGTCAATTATGTTAAGTGATCAATTTGGACCGTTTTACACCTTACGGGCTTTATTTGATATAATGTGGTAATTTCGAGTATGTGAGTCGGGATTATGCATAAACCCTAATTAGGGTTTAAGTCGATAATGGGACGACAAAATAAATTCATTTATAAAGGCTATGTCTCATCTCCTCTCCATATGATTTTTATTGTCTTGCCCCATTGATGGTCAACACTTTTGTGAGGAGTAAGGAGGAGAAAATCTAGTTACTATTATAACTATTATTTATATCAACGATGGCTTCCGTAGGTATAAATTCCATTTATCAATTTATTGTTCTGTAATTTTTGTTCTTAACATGATTACAATTAAATTTAACACTAATATCCAATTTTCAATTATCAGATTTATAAAAATCATGACTACGAGAAACTTGGAGATTCTTAATTAAATTTATTACACGTCTTTTTATATAGCAATGAAATTGCAGGGCCAGAATGCAAAGGGATAATAATTTGACAGAACGAGAGAATATTTTATCTATTTTTTTTGCTTAGGATATTAAAACATCGATAAAAAGGCAAGTAAATGCTCAAAAAGTAAAGGCAAATTCCAGCAAAGGGCCAAAGGCAAATGAAAATCATTGCAGGAATTATATGGGACCCAGGCATCCTTTGATTAAATTTTGCCTTTTTAATAGCATTTTTGTGAATTGTTTATAAATTATTTACATTATGAATAGATAAAAAAAAAACTAGTGATAAATAAATGAATAGTATTTGATAATTTCTTGATAAACATGATATAAACTAAGCCTCTGTTTGAACCTCATTATTTAAAAATTTATTTTTTTCAAATTATTTTCAATAACATATTTTTTAATAAAATAATTTTATACATAAATGTAAATTTTTTTCAATTTTTTAACTACATATTCTTTTAAAAACGCACAATTACAAAAATTATTCTTGAAAAAATGGGGACAAACAAACCCCAAGAATTTCAAATTTTTGACTTGGGAAGGGACCTACACTGGCCACCACTGTCTTTATGGACTGAATTATATAAAGAGCACCTCACGTGGAGTCTGAACCAAGACTCTTTCCAACCACAATTAAATCAAAACACCTCATTTTTTATTTCGAAGAAGAAAAAAAAATAGAAAAAAGGAAAAATTAGAGCGGGATTCTCCACCATAGTATGACAGTGGCTCCTATACTTTTAAATGTGAGGTTTTGATTCCTTAACCATTTAACATAGTGCGATTATGTCTCTTCATGATCAAAATCAACAATATAGAAGTTAAAATCGCAAGATAATTCACGTAAGAATAGAAAAATATTAAGAGGTAAGACGATTTTGTCCTACAATTTTAGCTTATGTGAAAGTTTATCTACAACTAGAACATTCATATTGTCGATTTTCACAAATTTAAAAATAAATTAGAGGGTGATCAACATTTCATTTTTGAAGGGTGGAGAGTAGTTTCCACTCTACTATAAGTGTTGAGAAATTGAACTATAATTTCTTAAAAGAAAATTACAAATAAAAGTTCCTTCTTTTTGATGCATTTCAATCAGTGTTTTTCACTTTTCTTTTTCTAAAAAGAAATAAAAAAGAACACAAGAAAAGCACTTATTTTCTTTTCCTTTCTACTTATTTCTTATATTGCTTTTTAAAGCTCAGCCATATGATTTCCACTCATTATCTTTGTTGCTTAAAGCTTGTCTCCACCTTATCCTCTCTCTTTCTCTCTCTCTTCCATAACTCAAAGTGTGAAAGGAATTCCAAAGCACCGATCCACAGAAACAAAATCCGACCCACGTTGAATTAAATTAAGGGCCTATTACGATTTTGATAGAATTGAAAAGAGAGAGTGAAAGCTGCAATATTGGTTTGTTTTTTCTCGATCTTTCGCATAATTATCATGGAAGGAGGTGATGATCATCTTCACCACCAACGCCGCCACGATAACTTTCCGTTTCAATTTCTTGAGAAGAAAGAAGACGAGGTTAGTTGTTCCACCAGCTCCGCCGCGTATCCTACTCTAGGAATCTCCGGCGATGCCATAAACCCTAACGCCACAACTCGATCATTAACAACCACAACCTCTACGCTTGACATTTCCGCGGACCCATCGAAGAAGCCGCCAGTGAAACGAACATCGACAAAAGATCGCCACACGAAGGTCGATGGACGTGGGCGGCGCATCCGCATGCCCGCACTGTGTGCTGCTAGGGTTTTCCAGCTCACTCGAGAGCTTGGCCATAAGTCCGATGGAGAAACAATAGAATGGCTTCTTCAACAGGCGGAACCTGCTGTCATCGCCGCCACGGGTACCGGTACAATCCCGGCGAACTTCACTTCACTCAATATAAGTTTACGTAGTTCAGGTTCTAGCATGTCAATACCATCTCAGTTAAGATCTTCGTACTTCAATCCCAGCTTTTCGATGCCACAACGTCGAGGACTTCTTCCGGGCATCGGGTTGCCATCGGAGGGTTCGTTGGGAACTTTATTGAATTTTCAGGCTGCAAACCTAAACCCTAGTTCGATGCAGGCTAAGCAAGAAATTCGCGAAAATTCACTCGACTTAACCGAGACAGAGGAGAGTATAGGGCGAAAGCGTCGGGCGGAGCAAGAATTACAGCAAACGCAGCATTACCAGATGAACAATTATTTACTCCAGTCGAGTACAGGGGCGATGCAGTCGAGCCATGCTTCAGTTCCGGCCAATTTTTGGATGGTGGCCAATTCAAATAACCAAGTCATGGGTGGTGGGGAGCCAATATGGACATTTCCTTCTGTTAATAACAATAATGCCGCTGCTGCTTTGTACAGAGGGAGTATGTCTAGTGGACTACATTTTATGAACTTTCCAACTCCGGTAGCAGTGGTCCCGAGTCAACAAATAGGAGCGAATATTGGTGGTGGCGGCGGTGGCAGTAATGGCTTGGGAGAAGGACAATTGGCATTGTTAGCAGGGCTAAACTCGTATCGGCCAGTTAGTGTCATGTCGGAATCTCATGCAAGTGAACCCTCGCACCACGGTGGAGATGATCGGCACGACACAACGAGTCACCATTCATGAATAATCATGGATTCACATCCTCCCATTTGCATAATTAATGCGTGAAGTTTGATTAATTTGTTCTAAACTGAGTATTGCTCTCTTTTCTTTAATATTGAATGATTTTTTGTGTGATCAATTTGGAGGATTTAGTTAGGGTTTGGGAAAGCCCTTTTTTTTTTTTTTTTTTTTTTTTTTAATTTGGTGGTTTTATGAAAAGTCACATTTGGGCATTTTTTACTTCACACGATACCTTATTGTAAATGTGGTTCCATGATTGATGCACTACAGATGAATTCTTACTTGACTTGCAAAATGGTTTCTATTCTATAGCATTTTGGATTCCCTTTTTCCGTTCACCGATGATATGTTTAAGATTCGTTTGAAAAGATTGTTAAAAAATTAAAAATTAATTTAGAAATTGAGTACATTATTTTTGAAATTATTGAAATAATTTCCTGAAAGTGATTTATGTAATTAGTAGAGGGATAATTATATCCACACAATAATTTTTTATATTTGCACCACATTTTGTTACGAGAAATATTTTCAGTATTTGCTCAATTTGTTTTTATGTCCTCAACCTTTTTCTCGTCGCATTATCATTCTTAACCTTGAATTAATTAAAATATTTTGTCTCTAGTCTCGATTTTCATCCAAATATATATTCTACTAACGTGCATTGAAAAGATGGACAAATATTTTGTTTAACTTTTGTATTTGTTATTTGTTTCGATTATTTAAAAATATGAGAGTTAAATTTGTCTTGTTGGCCCTCATAATATTTATTTGGACGAAAATCGTCTCTATAAACAAGATGTAAAAATCAATAGAGGGCGACCGATAAAAAAATCTTTTTAAAAAATTGAAAAAAAAAGTTTAAAAATAAGAAAAATTTAGAGATATTCGTGTAATTAAAATATGGTATAGTTAACAAAAATTTTGGTGTAAATATATTTACGAGCTTTTAGGAAAAAAAAATAATTTAAGATGAATTTTTCATAAAACTCTTTTAGAAGAAGCAAAAAATTATAAATAAAATTAAAAGTAAGATAAATCAAAGGATCACCTTAATATGTTGTCTCGACTTAGTTGGACTTTGTCCTTGCGAGGTCCTTCCAGGAGGAGAAATCCTCGTGTTAGTAATTCCCTTAATTAAGCTCTTGTTTGAGTCACATTATTTTGACAAGAATGTATTTTTGAATAGTGTATTGATGGAAAATATCTGGTTAAAAAATAAGAATTTTTTTTGAATTTGTATGTAATATTATTTTATTGAAAAATGTATCGTTGAAATGATATCAAATTACTGTTTAAAAAAAAAAATAAAAAAAAAATATATATATATATATATATATATATTTTAAATGTGGATCAAACACACCTTAAGCAATGTACAGAATTATTTGTCATTGAAAAACAAGATGTGTAATAGTCGAAGGCATAGCTGGCGCCATGAAGATCAGTGGTGGGTACTTATTGGCCCTATTAGGTATGGCCCACAATGACTTCAATCTCAACCGTGCATTTATGAGGACCCATCTGTCAATGGGGTCACTGAATGATTACTAATCGGTTGAAAGAAACATGTAGAATCTGAATTAGTTGCATTGCCACGTATTGTAATAATTATTTATTCCAAATTTAGACAAGTAATTATTTTTTTATATCAAATGAAGTTTTCTTGTTCAAACTCAGATAAATAATTTAATGTTATGTGTTAATTACGTTTTGCCCTTATTTGGGTTCCAATAAATATGATTTTTTGAGGAAAAATGTATTTTAAAATAAGAATATTTTAAAGAATGTGTAGTTAAAAAATAAAAATGAATTTTGAATTTACATGTAATATTATTTTATTAAAAAATATGTGATTGATAATAAAAAAGAGAAAATATTTTTTGACAAAAATGGAACCCAAACTTGAATTTGTGTGCAATAATTATTTTATTTTCAGTCTTCGATAGAGAAAATGTTAGGACCTGTTTGATATTGATTATGAGAATTACTTTTTTATCTTTAGAGAAAAGTGAGTTTCATCTGTGAGTGAAGAAATAAAAAACAATGGATGGAATAATGAAATAACGATCAAAAAATTAATTTTTTTTGAGAAAAAAATTGCTACCAAACTGGGCTTGATATATATCTTTTACTTCCTCTTTTTCTGCTTATAAAGATGTCGATAGAGTCGGCTTATTGACCGACTGATACGAGGTCTAGATTGAATACTGTATATTTTATTTAGGAAGAAATCTTGTGAGTTCAAATTTTCATTAATTTATTTATTGACGAAATTTCAACAATAAATTAAATTTATAGAAATATCTGTATTTTTAATATTACTCATTCAAAGTTTGTTTATAATTTTAAATTATTTCAATTTTTATTTAACACCTACAATTCTAATTTATAATTTTATTATTTTATTTAACAATAAAGGTTCTACAGGTAAATTAAATTTTATCAATCACTTCCTGTTCCTATCACGATTTCAGCTGCCCTGTCTCCTGCTGGGGGATTGGCATTGAATTCAGCCACAGCTTGACCACTTGATTGGAGGAGTGAACCAGCAACTCAATCCTTGATTCCAGTAGACTTGCTTGAAGGTATCCTATTGTGCCCTTCCTTTCGCCGGTTTATTCCTTCCTCGAGCAGAGTAGCAATGTGGCCTGGGGCTAAGATAACTCAAGTGGGAGAGCCGTGTTATGGGTGACCTTATTGCCCGGTTCAGAGAGCACTTCTGAGCTGGAATACGTTCTATTAACCAATAATATTTATGTAATTAATATTTTTGTTACTTATTAAGAGTAATAATTTTCATCGATAATTTAATTTTTCAAAATGAGTTTAAGTTTTTACTAACAGAAAATCCTCGCTTGAAGATTTTGTTGGTAAATCTCTTCTTAATAAAAAATTTTAAGCCTTATTTAAATATGGAGTCTTAGGTGGTTTGATCATCACTTGCCTAAAGCTTGAGCGACTCTGAATTTATTCCATTTATTCAACGGATCGATAGTGCTAATTGTTATTGTGGAGCAAATGTTAAAGGTTCCAGAGGTGTACGTGAATTGTGAATAAATGAGTATCCGTTAACTAACACAACTTATAGTGTGTATATTTGTTACGTTGGACAAGATAAGCAAATAAAACATATAAATACTTTTTAGAATATCATCTATCCTAATTCAGATCCAATTTGTCAAAACATATCGAGTCATTAACCTTTTATATGATCAATTGATTCATCATAAAGCAAGAAAGTTTTTGTCTTCGACAACAAATCCATCTATAGCTATTCATCTGTTTCTCCAGCAAAATTATGGCTGTCCATTACCATGGGGGCAACAAGTATTCAACTATACGAAAACAGATGAGCGAGTACGTTTGATAGGGATTAAAATTATATTTTACAGTATATTGTGATAGAAGTCTTTAAAATGTGTTGTTGAAAGATCGTTGGACCCATGAAAGATGTGATTAATATTGATTGTTTGACTTTGACTTATATTAAAATCAAATTTTAACCCGTACCAAACGACTCCAGTCTGAAAAAATATATGTGGTGAAATCTTCAACAAGGTCATCTTCAAGGGGCCAGGGTGCAAAGAACATGAGTGAGGTTATCTCACGCCTTACTAACAGTCGCAGTGTGGGGGTTCGATTCCTGAGACATGGAATTGGACTCCTTGTAGGCGCAGTGTACATGCAGCTCTTGTTCCCTGACCTGATTGGACATATCTCGCGATTTACCTCACTCACAAAACTGTAGGGACGGGACGATGGGAGCCCTCAAAATTGAGGTTCAACCTTTTTTTATTTTTTATCTTCAAGGGGATAGGGATCCAATTTACCTGTTTGTTGTCCTACCATCATAATATTGGTGCAGAAAAATATCATATGGTCGTACCAAAATGGCACATGGGTTGAAACTTAGTGGTACATTCAATGGTCCCATGTCATCAAATCTTGTGACCTGAAAATGGAAATTTGTCGTGTTTTTAAGAGAATCAAACAAGTCGGCATCTAATTAGGGGGCAAAATATTGATGAATCCTACTATAAGTCCATTGCACGTACAATTTTGGCTACGTTAATCCTAATTGAGTATTTTGATTAATAGTAGCTCTAATGTCTGTTTCATTGCAAAGGCCTGCAAAGACCCCACACTTCTGCACCTCAGTCCATTAATAGGACAACTAAGCAAAATGTGTTCATTTAAAATAAAAAAATTTTGCGGTTAAAGTTGAAAATGAATAGTTATTTTCTTTTAAAGTGACAATTTCAGCAATGTTGAAATAGTTACCTGTCACTGGTGTTCTATAGGGCATGAAAATAAATTGTTGAAGCATGAGGCATTTTCTAAACGTTCTATATATAAATAAGACGTGAAAAAGACGGTCAACTCCTCTTTTAACCGTCTAATGCTGACTTAAGTATTAAAAATGGGTGTTCTTTTATTTTTAAGTTTCATTAAAAACTTAATTTTTCACCTCACGACCGACTTGCAAGCCAGCTCTTGTGAGCCGGATGGCGACTCGAATGAAAAAAAATTGCCATCTTGGCTTGCCACATGACTCGCCTTTAAAGCAAGTTTCGCCAACTACTCCCATTTGACATTCCTGACTCCATTTCTAAAATGAAAAAGAATAGTTATGATGACTCTATTAAAATTCTAGATTTCTTCCCTAGTAAACCAAAGATTTCTTATTCGAGAAATGGTGCTCAAAATGAATGTGGGATCCATGCAACACATGAAGTCAAAAGAGATAACGGTAATGCAGATGAGACATCAAAATCCCCCCATAGGTATCTATCACAGAGCAAATGTAAAATAGAAGATGGGATATTGGAAAGTAAAATAGAGAACTTGAATGCATCAAGTTACACCCGGTAAATTTTGCTTACTATCTATTTTTGCTACTTTTAGAAATCTCCTTATCCGTGAATTGGTAAAAATATAGTTGAAAGCTGATTGTCCTTTTCCATTGAGAGTCATGCTATACATGTTAAAGGAAAACTGCCTAAAAATCCTTCATTTACGGTCGCTAAGAAACCATGCACTCTGTTTATGCGATGACAAGTCTCTGAAATCGAGTTTACAATGTCATATGTATAGCATTCACGTTGACCCGGAGTGATCCATTGTTTCTTATTTTTGAAGTATATTACTGAGCATCTTCCCAAGTGGTCCATGACTTTTTGGACTTCAAGACCCTAACAGTAAGTAGTGATTGGTCGTGTCATTTAAAGCATAAGACGTACGGAGAACTTTAAAACTGTGAATGTTGGCCAGTTGTTACGGAAAAAAATTCGAGGTGGGAGATAAGATGGTATTTCTCTATAGGTGAATTAATGAGGTCAATTGTGTAATTGAAGAAGCCAATCGACGTTGACGGACTTTCATGGTTAAGGGAGTTTGTTAGCAAGGAAATTCATAGAAATGAATAAAAACACCCTTAGAAGAATGCTGCTATGACTCAAATCATTATTTTCTGATATACAAGATATCCAAGAAGCGCACAAGTTCACCAAAACAAGGGGGCGGCTTTATCTAAAAAAATCAAAAGCGCAAATGTACTGAAGACAAAAATGTAAACTAGTGCGTCTTTATCTAAACAAATCAAAATATCAGATGAAAAATTCACAATTAAGCGGTTAAATATCATCAATTTTAAAACTAAGAAAAAATGTTTCAAATTTCGAAAATTAGATATTTATTAAAATTTATTTATGATTTAATTAATTAATTATATATTTTATTAATTAATATATTGAGGTCGCAGATCTATACAATTTGATCACAAATTAACAATTTAATTAGTCACATATTATTTTTGATCACATGTTAGAATTTTTATATGTCACAAATTATTTTACGATCATAATTCAAAAATTTTATTGATCACAATTTGTTAATTGGTTACAATAAAAAATTTATAAGTCGTAATTTTTATTGATCAATAATTATAAATATTATAAGTCACAACTTATTATACAGTAACGAATTATCAAATTATCGATTACAAATTAACAATTTTTTATATCACACATTATTTTTTGGTCGTTATTTATCTTTTTATTGACCACATATTCACTAATTTAATATTCATAGTCAATCAAATAATCTGTGACAACAATCAACACTTACGACCACTATCTCATCACTATCTCCAGTAGCACAACCACCACAGTTGTCGACAGCAATACCACCACCACCACCACCACCACCTCAAACAAATTACTACATCGCAGAAAAAACATCACAACATTATCACGCCAGATCTGCCACCACCCCAATAAACCCATTGCCAGCAACATCTTACTATCACCACTACAAACCATTGCCACAACCACTATGCCATCGCCATAATATGGAAATTGCCGCACCACCATTTCAACAACCCAATGTCTCACAGCCATCAACCATCTGTACCACTGCATCGCAATCGTCAGCTTCATCGCCACACTGACATTGCCAAATCTACCTACCATCACCGCAACCACGCAAATCTGTCGTCACTACCCAAAAATTATCGCAACCACGCCACGCCACGATCACACTAACACCACACCATGGCAGACCAATCACATGATACTCTATCATTTGTCAGTTTAAAATATAATCAATTTTTTAGTTCAATTTTTTTCCTTCGTATCATTTTGGATAACTACTTATAGTACGAGTAGCAAAATCCCTTTGCCAAACACGGGAGAAAAAGTAAAAAATTTGTATGTGCATCGTTCAACCCATCTTCCAAATTTACATTTCGATCTTGAATTGAGGATCACGTGAAATGACTCGTGTTATTCAGGTGGACATCTTTCAATTCACGAGGATCAATTAGCAGGAGAAAATAAAATCATGGCCGTCTTGGTTAGAGATTATTAATGCAGAATTTTTGTACCGGAACTGATGGCGATGGGGATTCATAAAAACTAGTGGTCTCGCTCTGTAAAAGTTACCGCAATCTGGTTCATCCGTGCAGTTACTTTTTGCTGTCTCTTTCAAATGGTTCTCCGTAACTCTTAACTTTTCCCCAATCTATTACTGTTTCAGGTAGTTGACAGATTTATTTTATTGATTTCCGTCTTTTTTTAGTTCATTATCTGTTGGGTTTGCAGTGATTTGTGAACGTATTTCGCGAATTTATGCTATTTTGAGTTGACCGTTTGTTTAATTAAGTATTGGGCTTTGCAGTGAATTGTGAACGGATTTATTAAGCTTATGCTAATTTGAGTTAACGGTTTGTTTGATTATTTGGTTGTTACGGTTTGGGTATATAAATATTTTCTTTTTAAGAGGCTGATTAAATGACTTCAAAAAGTTTAGCGAGTGCTTGGTGCCCATAAAAAAATGAAAAAAATTACAGGGTTAAGTGATCTGAGTCAAGCTGAAACAAGCTTTACTCCATCACTAATTAAAAACTCAAGCTAAGTCGAGCTTTACAGTCGCGTCTTTCAGTTGGTTTATCTTTCAATGAGAGTTTGCTTATTTGCAGTCCGAGTTGAACTATTACTTCTGGAGTTAAAAAAAATTTAATTATCTTTGGATCACTTTTCTGAATTAGTTTTTCTCGTATCAGTGAGTATAATCTAACAAACATAACCTTTCCACGTCGAGACAAGCATAAGTAGCTCCTGTAGTTCTGTAGTTGGTCTCAGGGGTAATCCTCAAAAGTTGATAGACTTGCTGAAGTCCAAGTGAAAGTGGGGATTTTTATTTTTTATGCCGACATAGAATATTATTGAACCCATAATGATTACCGTATTTGGCAGTGTGGAATTGTAGCCTTAGAATTGTGATTAGATGAATTTCATATTTGAATTGGATTTAACCAACTTCAATTCCAACCCGCAAAACTCCATGCAACTGAATGTAGACGTGCTGTAGGCAAAGTTTTATCCCTTCTAATAACCGGTGAGAGTTATAAGTAACCATCAACCAGTCTGACTTGGAAATATGGAAGCTCTCATCTATTTATGGATCATTCTCGGGCTAGATTGAAAGGTTGTTTTTTACCTTGTTTCAATAATTTATTTGCCAAATGCAAAGCTAGGCAGTTCAGGATTCTTGTTCCATAGTTACTTCATTATATGTAAAAGGACTCTAAGTGGATTACAAATTTCAAAGAGAATGAGTAAGTAGCATTTGTGTTTGCAAAAGAGTCGTCCATTTCAAATGCTGAGCGGAGGTAAAGACTATATGCAAAAATGGCAACAGATTTGGATGAGAATGTAGCTGTTTTTCTTAAACAAGGAGAAACTTCTTAGTCTTTATCACTGTCAGATCTTTTTACTCCGAAGGATGGAACTGTAACTATAACGCCCGCTCTCAAGGTAAATATTAAAATTTGAGTAACTTTAGGCATTTTCAATGTAATGTCGGCGTAATTTTTTGGCTGGAGAATGAATGGTTTCCTGTCCTGTGTAGGCTGCAATTCCTCCAATGCCAGCAAATGTCTTGTATTTGAGGCCAGAGTACTCTGTTCCAATCTCATGAGTTTTATTTCAGGTTCATGTCTTCATCAAGTGCCGTGTCTTATAAAAGAAACAAGACAGCCTTTGTTTGCTTGAAGCAAGGAGAAACTGATGTCTTTAGTTGGGTTTTCATATGTGGATGTTTGTTTTTTCTCCATTAGCGTGCCTGTTTTGCAACGGGTGAAGGTGGGTGGTTGCGCAATGGAAGCTGAATACATAAAAGAATTTAATCTAGGTTATCCCTAATTAAGGTTTTGGATTTTAAGATTATAATTCGGTTGTTTGAATATGTCTGTTGAGTGAACTTGAATTCGCGGTTTACTAAAAACCTGAAGCCCTTAGGGTGTGTCAAACTCAATGGTTTTCTGTTTGAATGCCTCTTCATTTGAGAGTTCCTTTCGTTAAATAGGTAGAATTTTGCTAATTACAAGGCTTAGAATCACTTATTACATCATTACATGGCTGAGAATCAGCCATTACATAAGTCATGCTAACTAACTATGGTATATACACTAATCACAGAATATCATGCCACAATTATCCTGCTAACACCCCCCTAAAATTGATACTGGTCGATCAAGAAGCATTAATTTGCTAACAAGAAATTGATGACGTTGTCGGCTCATGGCCTTTGTAAAAATATCAGCTATCTGAAGGGACGTGGAAATATGGGGAAGAGAAATTACACGGGTGTCCAAGGCCTCTCGAATAGAATGACAATCCACTTCAATATGTTTTGTACGCTCATCGTAAACAGGGTTAGCAGCAATCTGAAGGGCACTCGTGTTATCAGCATGGAGAGGCGTAGGAGTGGATTGAGGAAAATCAAGTTTAGCCAAAAGGCCACGAAGCCAAATAATCTCGAAACAGGCAAGAGTCATCGCCCGATATTCAGATTCGGTAGATGACTTAGAAACCGGATCTTGTTTCTTGCTTTTCCAAGAGATTAGAGGATCACCAAGAAACATACACCAACCCGTAACAGATCGTCTAGTGTCAGAACAGTCGGCCCAATCGGCATCACTAAAAGTGATAAGACAAATAGGAGAGCCGACAAAAAAAAGAATCCACGACTAGATGTACCTCGAAGATAGCAAATGATACGCTGAACAGCATCAAGATGAAGATGACATGAAGTGTGCGTAAACTGGCTAACCTGCTGGACCGCAAAGGAAATATCAGGTGGAGTAATGGTCAAATAATTCAAACTGCCCACCAATTGACGAAACACAGTAGGATTAGATAAAAGATCACCTTCCTCACTATGATACTTTGTATTTACTTCTAGAGGAATACCCAAGGTAGATGAATCCTGAAGACCTGCCAACTTAATCAAATCTTGTGTGTATTTATGTTGATTCAAGAAAATACCAGAGGAATCATTGTGAACTTCTAACCCTAAGAAGTATGTAAGAGATTCAAGATCCTTCATATGAAACGTGGTCTGAAATGCTGCTGTAGACGGGTAATTAAAGCAGAATTCGTCCCAGTAATAACAATATCATCAACATAGACAAGAAAAAGAACAATACTAGTGGAACTTTTGCAAAGGAACAAGGAAGAGTCATACTGGTTCTGTTGAAATGAAAAGTGAAGCAATGAAGATCGAAATTTGTCAAACCATGCTCGTGGGGCTTGTTTCAATCCGTATAATGAGCGCTTCAACTTACACACGTTTGAGGAAGAGGTGGTGGCCAGACTAGGAGGCAGTGTCATGTAAACCTCATCTTTGAGATCTCTATGGAGAAAGGCATTTTTGATATTCATTTGATGAAGCGGCCAACCTTAAGAAGCAGCAATAGTAATAATCGTCCGCACTATGGTTATCTTAGCTACCGGAGCAAAAGTCTCCTCATAATCCACACCATACTTCTGTTTGTTACCTAGAGCAACCAACCGTGCCTTATATCGATCCAGAGTCCCATCAGAGCGTAGTTTGATTGAATAAACCCTCTTACAACCAATGACTTTTAACGTTCTCCGGACAAGGTACAACATCCCAAAGTGTCATTGTCCTTGAGTGCTCAAAGTTCATCTGCCATCGCCTCCCGCCAACATTCATGTTTTATTGCCTCAAAGTACCATGTACGTATGGGAATGGATGACAAAGTAGTATGAAGAGATGTATAAGAAAATCCATACCTATTAGGAGGACGATAAATTCTGGTAGACCGGCGAAGATTAGTGTCTGAATCTAGCTCATTCGTGGAGGGCAATGTTAGAGCAGCCTCAGATGGCGGGTCAGGCTCACAGGGGGGCAAAGTTGAGCGTCGTCGTTCATTTACGAATCCAAGCTTGAATCGTTCAAGAGTAGAAGACAACTCATCAAAGTGTAAAAGTGCATATATCTTCGGTAAAGGCTCACCATGAGTGGGAAGGAAGTATTGATTTTCAAAGAAGACCATATGACGAGAGATACGAAATTTATTAGAGTATGGATCATAGTGAACATAGCCTTTATGAGAAACACTATAGCCCATAAATGCACATTTAATAGATTGAGCAGAAAATTTGTTTCAATCATGAGGAGGTAAATGAACAAAGCAAACACAATCAAATGTATGCATGCCAAGGTAGTTAGGATGCTGATGATGCAGGCGATAATAAGGATTTTCAAACTTTTCGGGACACTGGAAGGCAATCGATTAATTAAATAGACTACCGTAGACGAAAGAATTCTACTTGTTCCTTTGTAAATTCTTGAGAAGTCATTCCATCATAAATGAGAAATTGTGGGCCAGAACGAGATTGATGTTGACCATAGGTAGATGACTGGGCTGATCGATTTTTGTTAGCTTGCTTGCCATTTTTTAGCCCTGGCTTCCCATTCAATTTCCAGCAAGTGTCACAGTTATGCCATGGTCTGTTACAAAAATCCACCACCTTTTATCATCTTTTCATGCAGCTTTCATAGCAAAATCAGTCACTTTAGAGACCAGAGTTGAGTTTTCAATAGAAGGTGATGTTTTCCCCATCATAACAACTCTTCGACTTTCTTCCTTGCGAATTTATCCAAACACTTTGTGAAAGGAAGGTAATGGTTCACGCCCTAAATTTCTCCCACGGGCTTCATCTAGTTCTGAATTCAGCCCAGCACGAAATTCGAATATTCTCTCTTTTTTAAGCATTTTACTATACAAAGAACTATCATGAGGACACTTCAATTCAGCCTCGCAATATTGGTCTAATTCTTGCCAAAAATCAAAATACTGTAATACTTAGTAAAAGTATGAATACGCTGTTTCAAATCACAAATTTTTTACTTCATCTCATAGAGTTGAGCAGAATTTCCAAGGTCAGAGAAAGTCTCTGCAACAGCATCCCAGATTTCTTTTGCTGTAGAGAGAAACATGTATGTCCGACCTATCTCCACCTCCATCGAGTTCACAAGCCAAGCCATGATCATTGCATTCTCAGCCTCCCATTGTTGAAAACTTGCATTGTCTTCCTCAGGTATTTTTGTGGAGCTGCTAATATAGCCAAATTTACCTTTCCCTGTATAAACATCTTAACTGATTGTGACCATTGAAGATAATTTTGGCAATTCAGCTTATGGGATGTAATTTGGAGGGAAAGATTGTCGTGAACTGACTGGTGGACAGGCTTTTGAAATGTTTCAGTAGTATGTCTAGATGAACCCATCTTGAGATCCCTCTGACATGGTGTAAACTGGAACCTTTCAAAAACAATGAAACTGTAATAATCCTTAAATCAGAGAACTCTGATACAAAGTAGAAAAACAAGATAACAGGAGAATGATTCTCTATATTTTTCAATTAATTTCAAAAATATACAGACTCTTTAAATAAGTAAATACAGAAACTAGAGACTTTAAATATTAGGCTACAGTCACAACCACCCAGTTATAGTAGATAAGTTACAACTTATCTAGGATTCCTATGAGGATTAAATCATTTGAAACCAACTTAAGATAATGTGGAATTGGAAACAACTCTAGAAAATAGCTAATACTATTAACTTCCAATACACGTTGTAATGACATTAGTAAGATTCTGGCCTTAGACTTTGACTTCTATTTGATAACATTTGGGCTTCTTTTACCCTTCATCGAGGTTCTTCCTGAGGTTACCTCTTGAAGTCTAAAAGCTTGCATCACCAAGCCTAAAAGTTGTCTTGTTCTCTTTATGTGATTTTTTGTTGCTTGGTTTATGTGTTAAAATCAATGTTATTCAGTTCATCGAGGAAAATTGAATATCCCTATCTAAAATCTGGATTGCCCACGATTAGATGGGTAGCATTACATGTTAGATTCCTCGATAGAAGTTAAACGAGTCGCAGTTTTCAACAATTTCCATGAGTTTTTTGGTTCAATATCTTCTAATCTTGCAGTGGTTTTCTGCTACACTATGATGAGGCAATGCTCCACACTTCCTTTGCAAGGCTTCTTGTCACCCTAACAAGTTACTGTGGTATAGCTCAGAGTACTGTGTGATCTGTGTCAGGAGATATCTTGCCACACACTCACATGTATAGTAGCTTGCCTTGTATTTCTCATTTACGCCTATACCCAAATGGCCAATTGACATAACTCATGCCATAGATGATTTGATTGTTGTAGATGCACACACTTGGTTGTTGCAATTTTCTGCATTTCCTTGATTGCCAAGTTTGTAGCCTGGCACACCAAATGACCGAAGTTGATGTGGATGATTCCCTTTGATAACATAAAACTTCAATTTGCTTTTTCTGTTTCAATTTATTAATCCATCGTTGCTAATTGTTTTCCATTTTGTTTTTGTATAGGAGCGAAATAATAGTTCAGCACTCCAAATTTTTCATGAGCTTGTAAGAGAACTGAATAACGAAATTTGTGGACATTAGGTAGTTATCTATTTGGGGTTTCTACGATGCATTTCATTCTATTTGGACTAGAGTTTCAAACCAAGACGTCTCTTCAATTTTTTCTGATAAACATTTTCTTTATGATAATATTGTTGCTGATTTCCCTGGTTTCAAGTTCAATTTTAGATTTTTATCTCATTCACATCGAGTGAATGTGTTTAAGATGTGTAGCTTTTTCATCTTTCATGTTGCTTAGGCTTCAGTCTTGGAGCTCTGGTGCGCGGAGGAGTACGATTTGCTGGCGCTTGCACTGAATGGAAGAATGAAGATTACCAAGTTCCAAGTTTGCTGTTCAAAAGCTTAAAGATCCGACTTTTACTGAATCCTTGGGAAGATATTGGGTTCTCTTACTTGGATGACCAAGTGGGATTCCCTCTTCTTCCTTGAGTTTTATGTTCAGGTTTCCATTAGGAACAATATGAATCTCATAGCCAAACCAAAAAGTTATTACATACTGTGATGTTCATTTAGTATATAGTTTTATTTTATTTAAATGCTTCAGTTTTAGAGGTACTGGGACAGTTGGACTAGCTTTTGAAAGTATTCGTGACACATAAAATAGACAATAAATAAATATTTAATATTATCCGTACATTTTCCCATTTAACTTGCTTCTTGTTAACAGAAGTTGGTAATATTATATTTCACAGTTATATTTAGAAAATTTAATAATTAAGTATTACTTTGAGAAAGCACGATCCAATAGTTGCTACTTTGTGACAGCGTAATCATGGCTTGTATGATAATACAATTTATTGAGCATTCAAAAGAGATTGTAAATTTTTATTTGTCATCATCAATTAAGATAAGCAAAATGCGTTTGCATTAAAAAAAAATATTTTATATTTAATGGTTTTCTATTTTGGATAAGATGTGATGTTAATAGTATCGTGAATTCATGTATTATATTAAGAAATTGGATATTTAATTATACAAATTGGCGATTGTATGGAGAAACAAAGAAAGTGGTTTTTTGTTCAAAAAATTATGTTAGCGTGTTTTAGGACGAGGAAGAATACTTGGTCCAAATTTTGTATTTATTGTTATTTTAACTTATTTAAAAATATGATAGATAACTGTCTTTCTCTCTTTCTCTTAACGGATTTTTTGGACAATTTTTGTCATTAAGAATAAGATGTGTTAATTAATAATAATAATTATTATTATGAACATTTTATGCGATTATAACGTAGTGGAAATATATTTAGCAAACATAAAATTTTGAAACATTGAAATTGTCAATAATGTCAATGTGATTAGTTTCCTGATAACTCTCCACTTCTAAATCGATTCAACAAAAAAAATTAAATTAATATATGTAAGTCAAATTCAATAATTAATTTGAACAACATATTTTATGGGATTCAAAACTTTTTAATCATGCATCACATCAACTTTTATTAAGAGCTTGTTTGGTATAGTTTGAAAGCTAATTAAAATTATTTTTTTGACCGTTATTTCACTATTTCAGACTCATTTTTGAATTCTTTTTTCACAAGTAGGATCCACTTTACCTTTAACGATCAAAACATTAATTATCAAAATCCCTATCCAACAAGCACTAAAATTTATTAAAACAAATGATTCTTGTTACGCCCCTAACTGAACCCACATCAGGCGCGAGGTATGGAACTCTCATACGAACTGGTTCCACTTCGAAAAGTCCACCATCACGTAAGTCGAGGTGTGGAACGCTCATACGAAGTGGTTCCAATTGAGATGATCTGCTATCACACTACGAGGCATAGATAATTCTGGAAAACTGACTGAAGCGTCCTACCCCTTGAATTCGAGGTGAAATGATCCCTTTGGACCTTGGTCTGAGGATCCGCCGTCGATTTCAGAATGAGATCTTTGTTAGGATCGTTTTTGCCCCAAGGTTTAAAGTGATTTGACGTCTCCATGAGGCTAGTTGATGTGACCTATCAACTTTATGTCAACTCAATTCGGGAGAAGTAACTACCAGCTCACTCTACAGACTCGGCTGATTGACGCATATGAGCAGACGTCTCATACCTTTCAGATGTATACATATGTCTCACATCCAACAGCTCTCCTCACCTATAAATACCCAAGGCTTGGCAAGAGGCAAAGATAATGAAACTCTTCCTATTTAGCACTCCATAATAAGCAAATATATATTTTCCTCTCCACTATCTTGCACAATCTCGGTACTATTCCGATCACCTGAGCCTAACTTGACCGTCGGAGTGTATACGATCGCGGCACCCCCGTTGGTCCTGGCCGTATGCATCTGACCGTCTGTTGATTGTGCGCAGAGAGAAATACGTGGAGTGATTATCGATTGGCCATGTGATGGGTGTCCAAGATCAACAATTCTTATCTAAATCAATATTTTAGTCTCTAGTGTGGCTTTTAATCTAACAGCGAAGATATTTTTGTCTAAAAGCGCACTTATTGTTACTAGAAATTTAGTCTTTATGAGGTCAGTTTCGTTCTCGAACTAATGTACAAGATACCCACGTTAAGTGTAAGCACTATAATTATGTTTTAAGACGAAATTTTCCTAGATCCAAATTCATTTTCTAAAATCAAATTCGGATTTTGCTTGGTAGAGAATAAGGAAATCGAGCCGGCGCGTGGACAAGTGAAGGAAAAGTGAAGGCTGAGCGTGGGTACTCGTGTTAAACTACAAGAAATACAGCCTGCGTGGCATCGAAACGATTAGGTGTTTTCTACTTGCAGGTGTTGGCCACACGCCCCTCTTTTCAATACATCGTCTCTCTCAAATCTTAATCCAACAAAGAATTCTCAGAATCCAAATTTTGACGAAAACACGGACTCCTCTCCTCTTTCTAATATGTAAGTAATGACATAAATTTTTCTTGAAATATCTCTTGGCGATTTTTTAATTTTTTGGGGTTCAATTATAAAGTCTTTATTTGGATGAATTACCTCGTGGGTTTCTCTATGGATGGAATTTTGATTTAGAATGTAAAGATGGAAAGTTAATGTGAAAACAGAGTTTTTGTAATATGACATGACATATGAGCAAAGAGGTTTGATTTTTGTTGAATGAATAGCATCAATCAATCAATGGATCCCGTTTTCTTTTTCTTGATATTTCGTTTTTATTTTCATTAAATAGAAATTAATATTTGGGCCCTAAAATTTGTAATATAGCTCCATGTACTACTCTTTCTGTCTCTCTCAACCTCAAGAGTCAGTTTTAGATTGAAAAATTATCAGTTCCTCGAATTTTGGTTGGGCGGATGGAGAGTGGAATGGGGGTGTGGATAGCAAGTCATAACTTGTAGTTCTTAATGCTTGATGTTAAAATAGCAGCTTTTTTGGATGTCTATTTATGTTGAAAGATATAATTTAAATAAATAAGTTTGTCTTTTTTAGCGGTCGATTTTGTTGAAGATATAAATCAAAGTTTGTCATCACTGTAAATGCTCAAGCTATGTAGAGTGGTTCAAAATGGTATAAAGCTTTTGATGAAGAAATGGATTTAGCTTGCTTCTGTCGCTGTGTGTTAAAGACATAAATTTTATAATAAGTTTGTGCACTGTCTAAAAGCTCGAGCTTTTAAATGAGATGGTTCAAAATATACTAGTTAGACCTTTACGTTTCCCTTTTCTCTGATTTCTTTGAAAACAAACAGTGCTGATGAATAAATGGTTTGTTAATTGCCAAAATTTATTGGTTTGAGATGTGTCATTTTTCGCAGGGCACAAGGTGATAGCGAATTGCAAATGAATTCAGGGATTGCTCCTGTAGCTAAGTCTGGCATGGCAGTGGAGAAATCACCAAGTCGGTCAGTACTTTAACACTCCTCTTAGTGAATGTTTCAAGTGTTTGTACTTGTCAGAACCCAATATTTTGGTTATATAGAATTTGTTGTAGTGATAGCTATTAATGGCCATTGTCGTACTTTCGTTGTTCTTTGTGTGATTATGACACTCTTAGTTTTGCAGTGTCTTTAAATAACAAATTGCTTGTAACTAAAATTAGGGGCTTTCAGCTGTTTGCTTTTACATGATTCTAGAATCTTTATTTGCACCATTTCTTTATTCGACTGGTGCAGTGTTGGCTCTGACAGAAATACTTGGGGAAGCGAAAAATGATTATTCATCACCACATATTTCTTCCTCCGAAACTTCTTGCTTTATGATAAATTTCCAATAGTCATTTCATCTGGACAAAATATCTTCCAATCATTTTATACCTGTACTTATTTTTTTGCACGACCTACATGGTAGATTGATGTTACTGATTTGGAGGGTTGGTATAGTTTTGATGATTTTGTATGTCATTTTTGTTCGTTCATTGCATTTATTTTCCAAATGGAAGAACAGTCTTTTGATGCTGTTTGATGCGTAAACAATTTTTTTTTTTTTTTTTTTTCATTTTGTTTTATTGCTGAGAGTCTGAGACTAAATCTCCCTGTTGACAGTGTGCATTCTAGCAAGAAAAAGCAAGGGCAAGTTCCTAAAAGAATCCACAAGGCTGAGAGAGAGAAAATGAAACGTGAACATTTGAATGACCTCTTTCTTGCTTTGGCTAATTCTTTAGGTAATTAGTTCAAGCAATTATTATTATTATTCCCTTTCACATCTGAAGTAGAAAAATTGCATATCATCATATAAGCCAGTATTCCAGATATCTGATGTGAAAACTTGATGTCTTCAATGACTTTGGTCTTGCAGAACTATCAGATCAGAACAATGGTAAGGCCTTTTTATTGAATGAAGCCAGTCGAGTGGTGACCGAAACACTAGTTCAGATCAAGTCTCTTAAAAGGGAAAATGCTGGTTTATTGTCTGAGTCTCAGTATGTAAGTCCATTGGCATTCAGTTGCTGTAGACAAACCATTTATTAAAAGATAGTGTTTAACTTCATACACCTTATTTTACAAGAATTACTCATTATTTTACTCTCTCTTTCCTTTAACCTATAATTTCTTTATGTTAGATTACTATGGAGAAGAAGGAGCTGCAAGATGAAAATTCTGCTTTAGAGGCTCAAATCGAGAACTTGCAGAGTGAGCTGAAGGCACGTGTTTCTGAGTCACAACTCGACTTGAACATGGCCCCTCCTGAATGTAATCTCCAAGAAGTTGCATCAGATAATGATCAGCCCAGACTTCCTTCCATTCAACCTGGACAGCAGCAAGTACAAACTGTAAGTCCATTATATATTTTACCCGTCTGCTCAAATATTCAAGCATATGTGGAGCCCAGCATTGATCAACTTGCATTGAAGCCTAGCAAACCACACGCTCGATATCCTACTCCAGCCGACACATGGCCATCCCAACTTCTTGAAAAGCAGCCCGAGTTAGGGAAGGAAATTTAACAAAGTAATAGAAATAACGACGGATGTTAAACAGTAAGGCATTAAAGATGCAAAGCTGTGTGAATTTGACTGATATATGTAATTAGTCTGCTGCAAAATGTTTCTTGCAACTTTGTTTTAGGCATTCATACTCATTTTGACAACAATAAATTGTTTATCAGTATAAAAAGTTATTTTATGTATCAATCCTTACATCTCCTACTACTGGTGTGGTAACAGCTAGTTTTGGTATGTTGGGAGATATCATTATTGCTGAACCCAATTCCTATATTGCATTTGTGGGTAAAAGAGTAATTGAACAAATATTGACTAAAACAGTACCTGAAGGTTCACAAGCGGCTGAATATTTATTCCAGAAGGGCTTATTTGACCTAATTGTACCACGTAATCCTTTAAAAAGCGTTCTGAGTGAGTTATTTAAGTTTCATGCTTTCTTTCCTTTGAATTAAAATTCAATCAATTAGAGCACACAAAATTTGTAGCAAACAAGTAGTTAGTTTATAAGAATCAAAGTGTGTGTGTGTGTGTATATATATATATATTATTTTTTTTGACAATAAATGATAAGTTGAGAAGATTTGGGACATCAAATGAAAAAAAATCATATAAATACAATATATGTAATCATTTGCAAATCACATATCATTAAGTTCTTAATTTGTATCTATTGAAATGATCCATTGTAGTAAACTATGTTTATAATGTCAAAAAGAGTAACACTATTTCTACTCACAAGTTGTAAACAACCATTTATGTGACAATCGGATAATTGACACAATCTTCAATGAAGTTGGAATATATTTTAATTCATCGAAGAATGTAACAAGATTAGTACCACAATATCAAAAAAGTTGAAATGCATTTTGATTCATTGAACAATGTTGTTTTGTAACAATTGTACTTCAATTTTGTTCAATCTAATAACTAAACCTTTTGTAAAATAATAATAATAATAATTCCATTGAATAACTCCATCTAATTCATTAGATAGACTTATGTAAACTGATTATATATAGTAGCGATCTCCATCACTTAATACAATTAAGTTGTTCTTATTTCATATCACTAATTAGCAATTACATGTGATAACCATTATTTATTGAATTTCATAATATTGATTATCATTAATGAAATTGAACAAAGTTACCATAGTTGAAATCAAACTAAAATGTAATTTCCAAATTTAAAGTACCCTATTGTAATCATAATAAAGTATACTTACCAATTGAACAAAATTGAATCAATTACGTGATTGACACTAAATAAAATTATAGTTACCGCAAATATAATTTACTAATATTTTACTTGTAATTTTGACTATTTCATTAATTATGAGACAGTAAAAAGATAAAAACAAATAAAAAACAAACAAATGGTTTTTAACCAGTGCTAGAGTTGCAAGTTGGTCTCTGACTTGTTAATAAAAAAAAAAAAGGTTAAGTTGATAGTCAACATTTGATTATTAACTTACTATTTTCAAAGGTTGAGATCTGACTTGCTATTTTAAAAAGGGCGAGGATCAACTTGTTACTCAAGCAATAGGTTGGGGACTATTGGAATAAAATTTTGGACGTGCCAATTTGTTAACTAATTAGTTAATTCACTACTAAGCTCAATATACATTAACTGCTTTTTGGTTATTCTTCCCGCCTTCCGTCGATCAAAACTGCTGTCTTTCTCTCTACATTCTTGCGTATGCTCCAATTTTATGCGTTCGATTGAATTGCTGTAACAAGAAATTGATATGGGGAATGAGAAGCCAAACATCGCTTCTCGCTTCAATTCCTCGCAGCCACTGGCGGAGGTGGAGGCCTTGGAAGGTGGCGCCAATACCATACTGACGGACGTGGAAAGCAGCGAAATTGCAGAATCCATTTCGTCCTCGAATGATTCAGTCAAGATCGAGTGCAAGAAAGCCCTTGCTGCTCTGCGCCAAGGGAACCACGAGAAGTCCCTACAGTTGATGAAGGATTTGTGCTTAAAACATGAGAATTCGGCCGTGGTTCACTATTTCATGGGGACTGTTTTTGTTAGGATAGCCTCGACTATTAACGACCCGAATGACAAACAGCAGTGTTTGAAGAAGGCGTTAGAGAGTGCAAGGAAGTCGGTAACATTGTTACCGGATTCTTTTGAATCCATAATTCTTTATGCGAATTTGTTGTTTGAGACTGCAAATGAGGGGGACTATCAGGAGGTGGAGCAAGAGTGCGAGAGGGCATTGGCAGTTGCATTCCAGTTTCGTCAGGAGCTTATCAAATCAGAGGCTCGAGTTGTCCGGTTCCAAAATGAGGTACAGTCTTTGATTCAGAAATTAACTACTGCAAGGGAAGTCCATGAAAATATTTCCGCACCCAAGGCTGCAATTGACCCCGTGCAAAATGATGAAGGGTCGATGGTTCAGGATTTAAATACTGAAACTGAGTGCCATGAGAAGATTTCCACACCCAAGGCTGCTATCGATCCCGTGCAAAATGAAGAAGGGTGTTCGATTCCAAAGTCTAACATTGCAGCAATTTCGACTAGGATAAAGAATCTGGGCAATGAAGATGAAAAGTTGCCAATGAGGGTCCATGAGTACACAACGGAAATGACATCAGCATCTAACATAGCGCCGATGCAAAATGATGAAGGGTCCATGGTTCAGGATTTAAATACTGCAAATGAGTGCCATGAGAAGATTTCCACACCTAAGGCTGCTATTGATCCCGTGCAAAATGAAGAAGGGTCTTTGATTCTAAAGTCTAATGTTGCATCCATTTTGACTGGGATGAAGGATCTGAGCAATGAAGAAGAGAAGTTGCCATTGAGGGTCCATGAGGACCTAATGGAAATGACATCAGTATCTAAAATAGGGCCGATGCAAAATGATGAAGTGTCCATGGTTCAGGATTTAAATACTGCTACTGAGTGCCATGAGAAGGTTTCCACATCCAAGGTTGCTATTGATCCCATGCAAAATGAAGAAGGGTCTTTGAGTCCAAAGTCTGACGTTGCATCCATTTCGACTGGGATGAAGAATCTGGGCACTGAAGAGGAGAAGTTGCCAATGAGGGTCCATGAGGACCTAATGGAAATGACATCAGTATCTAAACTAGGCCTGATGCAAAATGATGAAGGGTCTATGGTTCAGGATTCAAAAACTGCAACTGAGTGCCATGAGAAGGTTTCCACTCCTAAGGCTGCTATTGATCCCGTGCAAAATGAAGAAGGGTCTTCGATTCCAAAGTCTGACGTTACATCCATTTCGACTGGGATGAAGAATCTGGGCATTGAAGAGGAGAATTTGACAATGAGGGTACATGAGGACCCAATAGAAATGACATCAGAATCTACAAAAGCACCGAATGAGATTAAAAATGCAACTGAGGCTCCTGAGGATGTTCGGAAGGAGATGATTGTGTTGAAGGCAGCTGTTGCTCTGCTTCTGAACAGTAACAATAATGATGGTAATAAGGGGTTGGATTCTGGTTTAGGGATGGGGAAGAAAGTGAAAGAAAGAAGGAAAAGTGAGAATACGAGGAGAAACATTTCTTCGGCTGAGATAAGGGACTTTGTTAGGTCTTATTGGAACTCACTGGACTTGGATAAGAAGAAAGAGCTGCTTAAAGTTAGGATTTCTGATCTCAAAACATATTATAGTTTGTCAAAGGAAGGGTCAGTGAGTAAGGTGCTTGATGATGCTTTATCTTTTGGGAAAGACAATAGGGTATGGAAGTTTTGGCAGTGCTGTAGCTGCAATGCAAAATTTGCCAATGCAGATTCACATAGGCAGCATGTAAAGAAGGAGCATATGTGGACTTTGTTGCCCAAATTGCAATCGATTATACCAGAGATGGTGGATAATGAGTGGACGGAGATGCTTCTTAGTTGTTCCTGGAAACCATTGGATTTAAAGGCTGCAATTAAAATGCTTGAAGAACAGTCAAAATTTGAGGAACCTAATTTTCTTGATGAATCAGACCCAAGAAACGATGAAGACGATTCCAGCGAATGCTTTGTGGAACCTCACTTCAATGAATATGAAGGAGATTCATCACCTGTGAAGAGCAAATTGGGAGATAACTGCCGTGGTAGAACACAGGAGTCAGAAAATGTTAAGTGGATGGATAGCAGTGAAGATCGAGCCCGTAAGAAAAGTTTCCTTGACCTAAGCTGGCCTTCAAGTGATGATTCAGAATGCGCATGCCTTCTGGAAATAATCCATGTCACATTTGAACTATTTATCAAACTCAACTATCTTGCCAAAAGTCATCTTAGCATGGTTATACACTTTGCCGTTCAAAATCTACAGGGTCTTGCTGATGGTTCTCATCTTCTTAACTTCAATATGGACCAAACACCTCTGTGTATCTGCTTTCTGGGTGCTCCCCATCTTCGGAAAATAGTTTTTTATTTGAAAATGATTTTTCATGGCATTTTTTCTAGTGAAACTGATAAATATTCTGATAAAAGTAATTCGATGGATGATTCAATCAGTTGTGCTCAAGTTGTAGACACTATGGAAGAGATGAATTTTGCTCTAGATGATTTAGTTTTGGTGCTTGAGCGTTTCCTTCCCTGCAAGCTCAATTCTCCATTGTGTGCTGATGCTGCTAATGATGATTCTAGTTCAGCAACTTCGCCTTGCATCTCTTATGAGAAAAACGATGTTGTGATTGATTCAGACGCATTACTTTCCTGGATATTTACAGGCCCTCCAAATGGGGAACTATTGGGATCCTGGGCATGTGCAAGGGAAGAGAAAGCACAACAAGGTAAGGAAATTCTTGAGTTTTATGAGAGGGAATTTAAGGACCTACAGGGCTTATGTGAGAAAAAATATGAGGGTTTAAATAATGAGGAGGCATTGCGGGCAGTGAACAATCTCTGTTGCAAAGAGAGAATTAAAAGAGAGCACGCTGTCCCTCAAAGTTATGACTCTGTCCTGAGGAAGAGACGGGAAGATCTTATTAGAAGTGATGATGGGGTTACCTTTATCAACAATAGGTTTGAACTGCATGTTATAGAAAATATTTTAACGGGTGTAGAATCTGGTAAAGTTGACGATGGGAGACCAAAAGACCATTTGCATCAGGTGGACACCTGCATAGAAATTGCAATAGAGAGACAGAAAGAAAAAGCTTCTGTTGAGGTTGGCCGTTGGATCTAGTCTTTTATCCATTTGTTATTAGGACCAAACTATGTCCACATTTTTATTATATTTCTAGTTTTTACAGCTCTGTCATACTGATGCAATGATTCTGCGAGTTCTTGATTGGATGCAGCAGTTGGAAGTTAAGCTTGACTCTGCATCTGCCCATGATTTCAGATCAATTTTGGTGCCTCTAGTGAAATCATATTTGCGAGTTAGTACACGGCACCGTGCCTTCTTGTAAATATTCCCTAAACTTTTCTTGCTTCCTTTTACAGTTGAACTACAGTTTCTCTTGTTCACATTTTTTCAGGCACATTTAGAGGCTATGGCAGAGAAAGATGCCACAAAGAAATCTGATGCGGCAAGAGAAGTACTTTTAGCAGAACTTGCTGTTGATTCTGAACAGAGTTTTTGTGGAAGATTGGATAATTCAAAACATATGAATAAGAGGATGAAGGATAAGAAAAAGAGCAAGAAGAGAATGAGAAACAAGGATTCAAAGGTTTAAAATTCTATTGGTTTTTTAGTTTAGATAAGAACTGTATGATAACACACTCATCATTTGGAGAATTTTTTGGGAAGTGTTTATACATAGCTGAAATTATAAATAGATAAAAATGAGTGTTGGATAAATTGTAGTACTTGTGGGTCCCTTGAAATGTATGAATTAAAAGTGACTTGAGTGTTAATAAATATTTTATAAACATGAGAAAAACATTTGTTTAGTCTGATTATTACTTTTACAGGCCATTGATGAAAATCAGCTGCACAGGATATGCAGTCAGTCATCTGAACAGATGTATGTCTCTTTTACCAGAAAGCCTATATGTGTTCATGTTCTCCATTTAATTCATCTAAACGCATTTGCAAAATATGTTGTATGCCTGGTATCACTGCAGATCACATGTAAGTGCCCCGGATGGGGATGATCATGATGCTGAAGAATATAAACATAGAATCAAACTTGAATTTGAGGAAAGAAAACTTGAAGAAACTTTGGAATATGAAAGAGAAATTGAATATGAGGCAAAACAGAAGCATCACATTGAGCAACCTGTGTTTTCAGAAAAAGAAATTGATGAAGTTGGTCAACTGAGATCTAAGCACACTTTCGATGGGGATGGAGGTTTGTACATTACTTCTTTCCAACTAATGGTGTTATCCCAATTTGATTTTTCGAAGCTTCTTGTTTTGTAATCTTTATTTACCTAAAATTCAATTTGCATTTGAATGTTGAAACAGTCAAGTATTGATCAGGGAAACCATAGCACAACAGAGAGAACTAAAAACATTTGAAAAATGCATTATTCTGTTCAGATCATCGTATTTAATATTCACAGACTTAATTATGTATATGAACTGGCACATAGAGAGTCACAAAGAATACGAAAGACTCTTTATTTACCTGGACTATACTCGATTCAGTTTACAACTCCTCCCTTCATTATAAGATCGTATTCAGCCTAATTAAGACTATCAAGTTCCTGTAGGAATTTGTTGTCTGACTTTATCCAAAATCTGAAGTGCTGGTATGTTGTCCAACTGCTTGTGTCCTCTTATTAGTTTACACGAAATGTATAAAGACACAACTCCTAACAATATTTAACAATTCTAGAATATATTGTAACTACGAAAAGAATACAAAATATAGGCCCTATTTGAGCCTCATTTTTTCCTCATTAAAATGAAAAATATGTCCGTTATCCATCACCTCAAACCACCATATTTGACTTTTTATCTCTTGTGTAGGGTCTACAACGGTTATATTTTTCATTCTCATTTTTACAACAATGTGGCTCAAACGGGGGTTCAGAAATATAGATTTTTGTTTCCTTAAGCAGATGAAGTTACTTTGTTGATTCTCTCAACATTGTATTCGATATTTTACATCAGACACATACCATGCATATTGAATATTGCCTTTCATGTGGACTTCAGCATTGCAACAAAGGAAGCTTCTGGAAATGGGTGAATTGGACTATTCATCACATGAACTCATAGCCGATGGAATTAATGTAATGGATACATTCCCTGGTCTGAAAAACGAACTAGGTGAATATAATTGCTTTCTCAATGTCATAATACAGGTTGGTATTAGAGAACATGCTTTTCTTCATTGTTTCTAAAGATTTTTTTTCCTCTGTGTATTGTTTTCTTTTCTAGTAATAATTTTCCTTGGGCCTAAGATATTTAATCATTTTTGGAATTCAGTCCTTATGGCACTTAAGATGGTTTCGAGATGAAATTTTGAGATCATCATCTGGACATGTTCGTGTTGGTGATCCTTGTGTTACTTGTGCTTTGTATGATATCTTCATTTCTCTGAGCAAGCCACCTAAAGATACTCGAAGAGAAGCTGTCGCTCCTACATCGTTGAGGGTTGCTCTGAGCAACCTGTTTCCTAATAGTAAATTCTTCCAGGAGGTAAATCACACAACTTCTGCATCGATTTTTTTATCAATTTTAGTATACCACAATTATTGTAATCTGAATAATTTCCTCAACATATTGTAATCTGAATTATTTCTAAATCCAGGGACAGATGAATGATGCTTCTGAAGTACTGGGGGTAATACTTGATTGTCTTCATCGATCATTCCCTTGTGAACCTGTAGTACGGGTGGGCGCCTTAGAATGTGTGGGTGTATCCTGTATTGCACATTCTCTTTTTGGATTGGACATACTTGAAAGAATGAAATGTGACGATTGCGGTTTGGAGTCTAGACATCAAAAGTACAAATCATATTTTCATAATATCAATGCCAGAGCTCTCAGAATAATGAAGGCATGTTTTTTTAGATGATAGTTTTTCTATTAATGGTTCAAGTTGCTTGATTCATGAAATGTGGTTGCTAAAATATATTTGTATTTACCACTTTAGGACATGTGCCCGAAAACCTCCTTTGATGAGCTTTTGTACGTAGTTGAGGTTATTCACCAGTTACCTTGTGATCCAGAGGTTGGCGGCTGTGGAAAGCTCAACTACATTCAACTTGTTCTCTCTGCTCAACCATATTTTTTCACAACTGGTAAACTTCTCGTAACATTTTATATTTATCTATTCATTTCTTTAATTCTGTGTGTGCTTGAATGGATCTGTGTGTTGTAAACTGATCACCACTCTACTTGGATCGCATGAGATTCTGAATTTGATACATGGCTTTTCATTTGGTAGTTCTGGGTTGGCAGAATTCTTGTGAAAGTGTTGATGACATAACGAAAACATTAGCAGCCTTGACTACTGAGATTAATATCAGTTTGCTTTATCGTGGTCTTGACCGAAAAAGCAGACATTGCTTGGTTTCCGTGGTAAGATTCCTCGAGTCTTTTTCTATGTAATATCTGTTTTCAGTATTTTGCTATTATGAAACTTTCCAAGTGAGATAGGAGTTTTCTTGTTGTGCATTAGAGGTCATTTTTAAAGCAGTCTATTGATTTGTACTGAATCAGAGAAGGAAAAATTGTAAATAACTATGCATAACTACCTTTGTAGGGACTGATATCGGTTTTCCTGAAAGCACGAGGACATTGAATTGATTTATTTTTATTTTTTTCCCGGTGAATTACAGTAATCTATCCTAATTGCAAATAAAAAACCAATGGCCTGGTTGTTCAAATTTCGAGTATAAGCCACTCATCTTTGTTTCAGTTAGCTTCATGGTTTTTGGGGGTGGCTTCCATATTTTATAAATCAAACAATCCAATGGTTTCTCCTATTCGCCTTCCTTTTTCAGAGTTACAATAAGATGGTTAGAAACTAGTATAGTTAAATGATTTTTGGGATAAAAGGAAAATAAAGCTTTCTTTCAACTACTACTACCCCGTATTTTAGGACAAGCATTTTAACTCAATGTGTAGTTTATGATCACATCACATTATTGTAGCATCTTTTCGATTTATTCAGCCTTCTAATATCATATTTTGTCCTCTTTTGTCAAACCTGAACTCTAAGAACATTGACCTTTAGAGCAACACAGTTCTGTACATATATGTCATCTTATTTTTGACACAGATTTGCATATTTAGGTTTGCTTTTATGGACGGCATTACTGCTGTTTTGCATACAAGCACGAACATAAAAAGTGGATCATGTACGACGACGAAACTGTAAAGGTAAGACTGCCTTCTACAGTCTGTATTCATTCGTTTTCTGGTTTGTAGTTTTATCTATAATTACTATGTGATGTCTAGGAAATTGGAGGCTGGAATGATGTTGTTATCACGTGTGAAAGAGGGCACCTGCAACCACAGGTCCTCCTTTTTGAAGCTGTAAGCTAGTGCTTAAAACAGATTTGAATTGCACGCTGAATATATGCAGTCGAGCACCGGCTGTGCAGGTTTTTAGCTAATATTGCAACTATACATTCTGTATTACAATGTTATTATGAATGCAAGAATTGTACATAAATTGAGAGTTTTGTTGCATATTGAAGAGAAATAAGAGCAATTGCGTGTAAGAAAGGAGTTGAGTTTATGATGTCTTCTACTTATATATTCTTTCATTGTTTCCAGGGGGAAACCATGCATAAATCTGATAAAAGTCCCCCTCTTCTACTACTGCGGCTTGCAGTACTATCTTCCAACTTTGTTGATGAAGTTGAGTAGAAATCACTACTACACAAGATGAATTGGTGGCGAGAGGGGAGGGGAAGAGATGAGATTTGACAGTCATTTGAATAACAAAATTGGACAGCAAATCTCAACTCATGGGAAATCTCATGCATGACTTTTAATTGGGCTTTGCGATTTTTTTCATTCTAATACATTTTTCAAATGTATCTCAAGTAATAAAAAAAGAAAAGGGGTTAGTGGAATATTTAACATTTCCCTCTAACAAATTAAGTAATTAAAAAAAAATAGAAATTTCATAATTCAAATTTTCATTTATAATTTTTTTTATATTTCTGATATTTTCTCAAAATTATGGTAATTTAAACTATATGTTCTCTTTTTTTTATTACGATAAAAAATCAACTGATATTAAAATTTCTTAAATCAGATGTTTAAGAATTTAATTAATTCAAAAAATTCATAATTTCATTTACATTTTTTTTGGAACCTGCTACTATTCCTAAAATTATAGTAACTTAACTTCTATATTCTCTTTTTTCGCGATATGAAGGTAGTGAATCATTTATTTGGTTTGTAACAAGATCATTATATTTTCATTAACATGATTGGAGGACTACAAAATTTGTAGTCATAAATCTATAATATATAAGGAATACTACTCATATGAGCTATAATTTTATGTTACTAAAATCTTGTCAAATGTCGAAATGGTCTCATTTGACAACCATTTACATCTACATGAACAATTGTCACAATTCTGCGAAATAATAGTAGTTAGAGTCACAATTATTTTCACGTCTCACGTGAACTCAGATTCTACCATATGAATTTGTTGCAATTTTTATAATATAAAATTATTTAGAGTCATTTTTTTTTTTAAGCAACCCATTTAAGGTGACAACAATGACATACAATCACATGGTAGGAGTCATATGTCCACACAGATACCTTCAACTTCTCTTCGAACTACTATAATTTTTACCCATAAAGAGATTTCAAATGCTGATGTTGTCAACCTTTTTTATATATTATTTTGGAGTGACTAGATTTTTGTAGTTTTGTGAAATATTTCTTGTTTTTGAAAATACAATTTCGATTATAGGAGTTATCATTTTTTTTCCTAATAAATATGTATCCATTTCATAATGGATCATTATCAAATATCGTACATGAACACTACTATAATAAAATAATTATCCAAAACTATACTTTTTTTTTTTGGATAAGGAAAGGGCTAACCAGCTGATCTACCAAATATATTTTTATCCAAAACTATACTTTATCATAAGCCTTATGAGTAAATCTAACATAATTATACTAATCTGCAGGTTCATTTGAAAAAACCATGAACCAATAAATGTATGTAGAAATGGAATAAAAAAAAGGATTGGGGGAGTGAGTTTTGACAAGTTGAGATTTGCACAAGGAAATAATCGAAGGTTTGATTGTATACAATAGGATCTGGTGCAAGAGAGAACTCTCGTAATCTCTCGTAATTTATTTAAATTTCAATATAAGAGTTAGAGTTGTTTAAAAATATTTTTAATCACATCATTAATCTCTCGTAATATATTTAAATTTCAATATAAGAGTTAGAGTTGTTTAAAAATATTTACACTTTCGAAAATAATAAAAGTATTTTGTGCCTAAATTATATATTTGACAAAACTTTGAAGAGATTTGCAAAAGACTTCATAAATATAGAGTCATTTTTTTGTTGGAGTATTCTAGAATAAAGATAACATATCTATAATAAATAATCTAAACAAAAAATATGATCTATAAAATGGAATCAATCTTCATCATTCATTTAAGGGATGCGAAATTATAAAAGGTCCAAAAGGCCTTATTGGTATCCAATCAAATTAGAAGTAGGGTAAAGCTAAATATTGAACATAAGAGTTTGTAAAGTCTAATATAAAATTTTTGGGACTTCATATTTAAAGATATATATTATGCCCTTACTAAACCAATATTTTGGCTTCGCCCTTGCTCATAGTAATACTTTATTTTTCAATTTTCATTGTACTTATATATATTCTTCCAATGTTTCGTTCCTCTTCCTTTCATTATAATACATAAATGAATGAATTCTTCTTGTGATATTTTCATTGTACACCAAAATTCTCCCATTGGAAAATGTCGCATTTACCTTCATGTTCATACAACCGTATCAAGGTTTATAACATTCTACACAATATGACGCTTTTCAAGAACTTATATTTGATAGCTTTTACATACAATTTTTCTTTGCTTTTAATTAAATATCGTCTCATATAATGTTGGAGAGGTTATGTGTCAGTGTATTGATGGAGATTTATGAGAGTTACAGTTTGAAGTCATGTCTTGGTGCAGAAGATTGATCAACTCACATGAGTGATCGAAATTGGTTTTTCAACAAAATTCACACATTTATCACTATTTCAAATCAATTCAATTTTGACATTTTTTTTACTGTCTTTCCAATACCAAAAAACTAATTATTTCCTATCATTGCATCACACAATGACATGAATTCATTATTGAATACACTTTTTGAATACTCTAAATAGCGACCCTTAAGGGTGTCACCGGCCAAGCTTGCGCAGCATGCAAATATCAAAGTAGAGAGTGCGCCTTTGATTGTCGACTTTCACCGTTCTTCCCAACTAATCAACCTAAAATGTTTCAAAAGGTACACAAACTTTTTCATGTAAATAATATCTCAAAAGTACTAAAGCGGTCCAACCCTATTCAAAAGTTATAGCCTTGAAGTCCATCAAATATCAAGTCAATATGCATGATAATTATCCTATATGCAGATGTTTGGTGGAAATACAATGATTTTCTCACCAAATTCAAATGGTTGAAGAACTTCAGGCTATTCTTGAATAACTTGATTATTACAAACAACAACATCAATAGTAGGGGATCTCATCGACTAATAGCATTTTAGGCTATTTTTGGACAACTCGATTATTACAGACAATGACATCAACATTGGGGAATCTCATTGGATAATGATTCTCTTTCGCATTTACGATTTAGCCTAACAATGCATTGACAATTATTCACCAGGATAATCCTCCACAGTTTGATGCTATGACAGCATTGCCTAATGTACCAAATAATTGCAACCCGGATTACCATTTGAAGGTTAAGGAAAATAATGTTGTCGATTCTTTGTGGATTCAACGACCATATAGTAATGGAAACAATGAAAACAATACCATGGTAATGCAATCATAGTTGAGTAATGCATAGTCTCAAGGCGACTCGAGATTATGACAAAATATATCCATTTTTTTAACACTACACATGATAGACAACAGGACTCCAAGGAACTGTATAAGTCTAGGTGTCATTATAATTCCAATATCAATGTATTATTTTTTCAATTTCTTGCTAGGCAGATCGATTTTTGCTCGAATTTACACACAATTCAACTCTTCTGATGGAATCCCATTTCTAAATTTAAAATTTGAACTATGTACGGCTCGAAATCATCATTAAAAGATACAAAACAATCAGTCGAGCAAATGATTAAGGAATAACTCGAGTGCTGCAGCATGAGCCCTATCAATGTGAACTGAAAAGGGAACAATTTGAAGGAGATAATAGGAGAGGGGATTGGTATATTGTGATTTGTGATCCTTTTTTTTTCACATAGAATTTACTTTATGTTTTCACGAGTTGAACAAATTACTATTGATTCCCTCATTAATTTGGTATCGCGATATCTTTAATTTTCCACAAACTATAAGAGAGTTCAAATATTTGGCTTTCGTTACATTCGTGTTAATGCTTAAATATTGGGCCCCTGTTTGAGCCGTATTTTCAATGAAGAAAGTAGGAAAATTTTGATTGTTATTTTCAAGCTTGGGTCCAACCTAAAAGAGATGAAATCAAATATGGTGGTTGAAATTGGTCTCCAACAATCGAAATTCTCATTTTTTATGGCTGAAAATATGGCTCAAACGGGGGCTAGATCTTACTGAAAATTTGATCTACTCATAAAATTCATAAAACATAGACGAAATTTTAGCTTGATTTGGGCTCAAACTCGAAAAGAAGGAACCACCCAACAAATAGAATCTGAAACCGGTACCACCAACAAATAATAAGGGGGATTGATTTGAAAGGCTTGGACAAACTAAACATTTGTCCAAGAAAACCAAGAACTAAGGCTTTTAGTTGAAAGGCCTAAAGTTATTAAATATGAAAAATAGAATTTGTAAAAGAATAAAATATCCTTATATGTAAAATGATATTATTGCCCTAATTTTCATTTCAATTTCCTTTCAACCCTAATCTCTTTCCCTCCTCTATGAATGCCTCGACCACGGTAGGTGCCTCAATGCTGATTTTCTTATCATTATCTTCTTCTCTACTTAATGAAATCACAAAATCTACATTTTCATTCCCTTGAAAATTCATTTGGTTGAAGTGAATGATAAAGTCTTGCTATATTTTTATTGGGCATTTGGAGAAGAAGAGAGGGTATGGTAAATTTTCAATATTTGAGCCACTTTCTTTCTCCATTGTTTTGAATCATCTGTTCATGTTGTTGTATATGTGTTTGTGGCGTTCATTTATCAATAATGATTTTGAATTCATTTTATGAATTAATTGGAGCTTTAAATGGGTTACTTCCCAATCTTATTCTCATTACCCATTATTTGTATTCTTTAGTATTAATTGAAGTGAAATGTGAAGTGGTGAAGGATGATTGACTATTCTTCTCATTATTTTCACATGAAACATACATTTGATTTTTTCAGTACAAAACGACATAGATATCGTTTTCTGAATCCATGAAAACGTACATATTGTTATCAATAATGTATGATGTTTGAAATTTGATGAAATTTATATGTTGAGTTACAGGTTATGGACACCATGGACTTGGTATGGATATTGATTTGTTATCCAATTGAATATAAACAGACAGTTGAAGGTGCATGGAAATGAAAGTGTTCTAAAAATGGCAAAAGGAAAACAATACATATTCTTGTTGCAAAAACAATGTCTTACATGGAACTATATGATAAAGTTAAGGAGGCATTGAATATCGATACAAGTTTATACAAAATGGAGATTCCAGCTCTTGTCTCGATAATGTCTAAAGCTCTAACTGCACCAATCATAATTTATTGTGACAACGTGAAGTGATTTATATCTGCCTGTACAGAAACTTTGTAAGTATTTTAAATAAAGTTGTTGAGAATCAAGAAGATTTTGGTGATGAAGGATGTTTATTAGTAATAGATGATGGAGGACAAATTGGAAATATGAACAACGAGGAGGAACATGATCGAACAGACAACGATGGTAATGATGACAATAGTGATGGAATATTTGTAGATTATAATGGCTTTGACGTACGTGAAGATAGTCCTCGAAGAGTAGATGACGAAGTTAATTTTCCTGTAGTAGGTGATAATAATTTTGAGTTACACACGCATGAACCTTGTGGTAGAAATATAGTGAATGGTAATGATGTTGAATGTACTCAGATTGTATTTGCAAGTGTAAGTTCGCTCTATTACAAGACATCAGTAAAAATTTTGGAACGATTAGATGTGCGAGCCAACCATTTATTTTCATCGAAATATGACCTAATATCAAAATTGCAGTTGCTAGCTGTGAAGTGCCACTTTGAGTACAAAGTTAAGAAGTCAAATAAGAGCACTTATACAATTGTTTGTATTGATGAAAGTTGCAAGTGGCGCTTACGAGCAACCAAGATCGTAGAAAGTCCCATTTTCGAAGTTCGAAAGTACAATGGTCATCATTCTTGCTCCATGAGTGTTCGTCACAGAGATCATAGGCATACTTCATATATGATTATTGGAAACACGTCGCTTCTAAGTATGAAGATGTCAACAAATTTACAGGCCAAGGGACATTTATATTAATGACATTCGTCGAAAGTTTGGCATAACCGTAAGCTATACTAAAGCGTACATGACTAAAAATTTTGCTTGTGGATTGATTCGTGGGAAACCCTGTGAGAGTTATGCGAAATTGTCAGCATATTGTCATGTTTTGAAGATGCAAAATCCTGATACATTGACATTCATTCATACTAATGATGATCGACATTTCAAGTACCTTTTTATAGCATTGGGATCAAGTATACATGTGTTCCTAAACTCAATGCGAAAGGTAATTTCTGCAGACGGTACATTCTTGACATCTAGAATGAAAGGTACTCTACTCGTAGCAACTTCTCAGGATGCAAATTTTCAAATATTTCCACTCGCATAGAGAGTAGTTGATTCGGAGAATGATGAATCCTGGACTTGGCTCTTTCAGAAGTTGCGGTTAATAACAGGTAATACGGATGACCTTGTGATTATATCTGACCGTGAAACGTGTATCAAAGATGGATTTAGAAATGTGTTTCGATTTGCTCATCATGGTAATTGTATATATCACTTGCAAAAGAAGACAATTTTTCCACGATGCGATGTTGCAACTTTGTTTAAGGCAGTGTCGGAAGCTTATACTTTAATCGAATTTGAGTCTTACATGGCAGCTTTATGCAGTAAAAATGAGGGCATCAAAGAGTACCTATTGGAAGAAGATTTTTATTATTGGGCTAGAGCGCATTTTACTGGGATACCTTACAATATCATGACTACGAATAATGCAGAATCTATAAATGGTTTGTTGAAAAGTGCTTGAGAACTTCCCATAGTAGGTTTAATAGAATATATTCGTGGGATACTACAAAGGTGATTTTATGAAAGACACGTTGAAGTAGAAAAATGTGTGACCCAACTCATGCTAGCATTAGAAAAAAAGATGTGCATGACATAAAATAAGTCAAATGGGTTGGAGTTAAATCAGGTTTCTCCGGACATTTTTCAAGTTGGTGACAATTTAGAACACCACTTTGTGGATTTTTACGAAATGACATGTACATATAGAAGATTTGATTTGGACAAATTTTCATGTGCGCATGCAATTGCTGCCGCAAGGTTTAAAGGAGACGATGGCTATAAATTATGTACCCCCTTTTACACTAGTATTTGTTGGAAGCAAGCTTATTCTACATTCGTATATCCTTTGCCGAACGAGGTTGAATGGCAAATTCCTAAGAATGTGATAGTCAGAGAAATATTTCCACTATTGGTACGAAGACAGGGCGGGCGACTGACAAAAAAGATAAAAGGGTTGGTTGGAGAGACGCATGCGGCTCGTAAGTGCAGTAGGTGCAAGAAAACTGGTCACGTTCGATCCACCTGCACGGGCCAAACAGCTAGTAGTGAACCTTAAGGTTGTAACACTATCGTGTTTTGTAACTTTACAACTTCGTACTTATTATTTCAATTGAATGAAATGACTTATTAGATTTTGTAATCATTGCGTTATTGAAATATTTTTGTACCGTTGGAATCAAATTAAAGTATTTTAGATATTCATGTTCCTTTTTTCTCACAGCGAAGGCAAAGTACGTTCATATCGTTACAGTAGACGTGAATGTCATTCCAGTTCGAAAATTGCACAGATTAACATAACGAGTTATAATTCGTTCCCGAGACACAAAATGACGTGCATATCGTTTCAATGTTAAATACACACTACTTCTCTAAATTGTGTAACGACGTAGAACTCGTTATGAACACACATAACAATTTCGAAGTCGTTTCAATTAAAATTGATACTAAAACGAGTTATAACTCGTTCCTAAGGCACAAAATGACATGCATATCGTTTCAATGTTAAATACACACTGCTTATCTGAATTGCGTAACGACATAGAACTCGTTATGACCATACATAACGTCTTTGAAGTCGTTTAAGTAAAAATTGATACTAAAACAATTTGGAACTCGTTCCTAAGACACAAAAAGACATGCATATCGTTTCAATGTTAAATACAAACCGTTTCTCTAATTTGCATAACGACATAGAAATCGTTATGACCACACATAACAACTTCGAAGTTGTTTCAATTAAAATTGATACTAGAACAATATCTAACCCGTTCGTGTAACACAAAACGATGTTTACATTGTTTCAATGTAAAATACACACTGCTTCAGTGCTTAATGAGGGTTGGGCGCATATCATATCTTCTTGTTCGGTACTACATTGATATCGTTCTAGTGTAATCGTTCTTGAAACAACATCCATCTTGTTTCATTACAAAGCTGTCAAGTTCGAAATCATTTCAGCTGAAATAATAGCTACAACGACATCGGTATCATTTCTTCATACTTGAAACGACATTAGTATCGTTATGCTTAAAAATGATGTTTCGACCATCCACGGCTATCGGCATATGTCCCACTGTACGTATGACGATAAAAATAGGTCATCGAGCCGGTTCAATCTCACTCGAACGACGCTATGGTAACGTTTGTGATTCCATAGTATCAATTTTAACTGAAACGACTTCGAAGTCGTTATGTATGGTCATAACGAGTTCTAAGTCGTTACACAAATCAGAGAAACAGTGTGTATTTAACATTGCAACGATATGCATGTCATTTTGTGTCCCAGGAACGAGTTTTAAATCGTTTTAGTATCAATTTTAACTGAAACGACTTCGAAGTCGTTATGTGTGGTCATAACGAGTTCTAAGTCATTAACCAAATCAGAGAAGCAGTGTATATTTAACATTGCAATGATATGCATGCCGTTTTGTGTCTCAGGAATGAGTTCTAAATCGTTTTAGAATCGATTTTAACAAAAACGACTTCGAAGTCATTATGTGTAGTCATAACGAGTTTTAAGTCGTTATGCAAATCAGAGAAGCAGTGTGCATCTTACCATTGCAACGATATGACAATGGAAGACAATGAAAAATATGTAAGTTTGTATATGTAAAACTCAATAACCTGACACGGACAATATCTAAACTTTAAAGTTATAAAAGACAATGAAAAATATATACATTGAAATTGTATTCGAACTCCAAAATAGTTACTACTCCAAAGTCAAAACAGCCAAGTCACTACATAATGTCATAAAAATATAAAAAAATACGAGCAAAACACAATCTGCGGCTCGAAATCCCAAGCCAACAACTCTGCAATTAGTTTCTTTCTCCATACTGGTACGTAATCTGATCGAATTGTATTTACGTCCATATTCGCTTGCAGAAATTCTATGTATTCGATAGCGAATATCCGCAATCGGATCTACAAAAAAGTTGTAAAATTTTTGTATTAATTTTCAACACTCAAAATAATATGGTACTACTAATTATGAAATTAGTCATTCTTACCCGTTCACTTGTTGGGGAACATCTTTCATGGTTACAAATTTGAAGTTCTCCGTACTATATTGACATGAGATTTTATTATCAATGAAATAACTACCTGTAGAGCCAAAAAAAACAAAAAAAAGCTTCCAGCGCTGCCTTACGAATGTGACCCTTCAGACTATCAAACATAAAAATGACTAGTTCCTCCATGTCGACTTGAACTGAAAACCAATGGTTGGGGTCCAACAAGGAAAATACAAATATCTACAGTCCTTCCAAGGTTTACCGAGCTCCGGAGTAGCCCCTCTCACATAATGAATTAGACTCTTACTATATTTGAGCTCTTTACTAAACTGTAACTGGCCAATGCATTGACAACAAATTGATAGAAATAAGTGTCCAATATACAACAGTCTTGCCGGAACAGATTGGGAAATTTGGAAGCCCTTTCTCGTATTTGATATAGGGCCTCGTTCATAATCTATAAAAATAAAATAATCAATTCAAACTGAATTCTTTTGTGACATTATCATAAAATTATTAAAGTTGGATTACTTACACTGTCATTAATCCAACCATCCTCATTCAAAAGATTCATCAAACTTTTTGTTTGAACATCATAAAAGCGCAAAGGTATAATTTGGATGTGCATACAACAAAATCAACACGAAATTATATTTAGGTAATATTGTCATTACTTTCACATGTACTTGCAACTATGTGTAATACTTTACCACGAAGATGTAGTTTCCATCCATTTGTAAAAAACCTCAACCTTTGACGGGATCTAATTCTCGATAAGGATCGTATATATTGATGTCCGACAACTTTCTCCTCTTCGTCGGGTTCGTGTATGGAAAACAAAATATGCGCACTTTTCTCTTCCGATGATACCCTCGTCCTTTCGATAGATCGCATCTCGCCTCATCGATTTCTACAATGTCACCTATATGTTGAAAATAACAACAATTACAAGTGGAAAATTTGTTTCATATGATATAAAGATGTAAAACTGAACTTTAAATTCATTTTTACGTACCTTGCTTGGATTTATTTGTATCCACACCATGCTTTTCAGGCGTCACAAAATCAGCAATCTCTTTCTCTACATCGGGATGCTCCTCCTCTAATATTATTTCTTTTCCAACACTTTTCTTGACCATTTTTTCATTTTCTTGCTCATCTATATCATTCACAGATCCAGCTTCCTTTTCCAAGTCCCTCCCTCCTACATTTTTGCCTCTACATTCCTCCTCTAACTTTGGATCCTCCTCACGCGCTTCTACATTTGTTTTAGCAGCAGACACATCTCTCACATCATCAAATCCAAGCTCAGTTTCCAACTCATTCCCTCCTACATTTTTTCCTCTAACCTCCTCATCTAACTTTGGATCATCTTCAGACAAATCTACCTTTCTTTCAGCAGTAGGCATATCTGTCACATCATCAAACCCAACCTCTTTTTCCAACCTATCCTTCGGTTCATTTTCAGGTACATAGGCTGTGCTACTAGTGGCACCATCAAATGCACTAGTCACTGGATGGAACCGACCTGCCACAGCCAATTCAACTAACCTGTCAACATTTTCTCCACCCGATCAATTCGAGTCGATATGATTGCTTGTAGGCTTTCCTCAAGTTTTTTTCATTTCAGTTCTCAATAAATCCGCTATGTTCATCTCAAAACCAGGCTGTGGTGGTTGAGTTGCTCTAGAAGACTCTTTGGGGTATGTATGATGTGGCTCGACATCATGCTCAGCCACGTCTCCTTCGGAATGGTGTGAAGCCTTCTCATATTCTTCCACAATCGATGTTAATTCTTTCCAATAGACCTCTTTCAGTTCGGCTTCAGTAGGAATCAACGTAGAATTAACCTCCAACTGCAAATATTAAATCTGCAAATCATTAGTCATCCACTAATCTAATTCCATAATTTGTCCCCATTAAACTTTAAAAAACATAAATTTACCTCTTTCGATTTCAACACAATATCAATGGCGACAGACGCTAACCTCTTCGACATTTTCCAAGCAAACATTCTTGGAATTACATCTGGATATTTTGTAGCAAACTTCATTCCCAAAGTTGGAATTGTTTCGAATGCCAAAATATATTATAAAACATACATTACTATCACATGACATAAATTTTTATATACAAAATATTACAAGTCAAGTATATTGTTTGTTCATACCATTATAGCAAGGAGAAAGCCGTGCAAAGAATGCTGTCAACGTGACTCTCCTCCGACATCGGAACTTTTCAATTTACCTCCTATCTCACGTCTGAATGCATTCATCGTATATTCAAATGAAATCTTCCCCCCACGGATACTTCTCGAACCTGTTCAAATCATCCACCAAGTCCAGCAACCATTAATCGATATAGGTATTTTTCTTCGTGGCCCACAAGACATACGCCAATATTACAATCAATCCCAGCTTATATTTGTCACTCTTTCTCTTCTTACAACATGCAAATGCATTGTAGATATCTCCCTTTGTAATTTTCTCCCCACTATTCTTAAAATATTCTTTCACAATCCGACACTCTGCCCCCAAAGTCTTATCTACATCATTCTCATCATCCGCATTTAAACCCAGTAACTAAAACAAATTCTTCCAATCCAAACCTCGCTCGTTTATCTCCTATCTTGAACCACACTTCTCCATTTTTGTTGGTCTTCATTTTCCTCAATAACAACTGATGGATGACCTGTGAATCCAACCTTATATCCTTGAGTCTAAGCAGAGATCCAAAGCAACTTTTTCGAAGCTTGCTTTTGTGATTTGTATCCAGTTGTTCATAGACATTTTGTACTACTAGGAGTCTATATCTTGTTGTAATCGTAGCGTTAATCTGAATATTTTCCATATCACTGTAAATTATAAAACATGCACATATATCAGAACAACTGATGACAATAAGATGTACATATATATGCTCCTCAAATGCTGAATGTTATCAAGAAATACTATGATTTCATTTCACTAAAATCATAGATTTTATTAGGGAATAAATAATAATGAATATCACTCAACCTATTCTTTACTCCAACTTGGAGAAAAAGTTTCACTTTAGATCTACAAATATGATACAATTCAAAAACAAAATGGAGAAATTCCATATAAAAAGTATAAATCTTGTTAGGGTTTACATCACCTTCCAAATAAATTTAACAGATTTACATTGCAGAAGAATAAAAATGTCAGCCAACTTCCCAATGTTCAATTTGGAATGCCAAAGAATTCATTTAGGTGACCACAAGGTGGATATTTTAGTCACAGAAGTGGCAGCCTCAAACTGAGATCAAATCATGCAATTATGAGCAATCATTTCATTATTGCATTAGCCAACACCTTTTATACATTATAAGAAGCTTATAAATCTTGTAATAATGCTTGTAAGTCTTAAGCTTGATCGATTATAAGAAGCTCATAAACATTAGTCAAACATATATAAAGAATATAATACATTTATAAAAAGAACATTTGCAATGACATAAGATCAATCAAATACACAAAAATGAATAAGGTATCTAGTAATCAAACAAAACATCATTTATTCTATTAAACCCAATTTATCCACTACTCAAGAGCTCAAATTTCCACAAAATAACTTTACAATCAATCAAACAAGATAATACTATCTACTTATGGATCTCATGAAATAGCCTTCCATTTTTCCATTTTTGGCAACTGGCATTCTTTATGAGAAAATCCAAAATAATAATACAATCAAGAGCCCAAAATTTCACAAAATAACTTTAACAAGCAATAAGTGCAAATGGCATTCCATAGTTCCACTTTTCGCAACTGGCATTCTTTGTGAGAAAATCCAAAACAGTAAGTGCAAATATATAAGCAAGGGATGAAATTGGTACTAAAATTTTTCCATGTCCACACATCTAGATGTAATTGGAATAATATCTAAAGTTCTGCGAAAATCCATTTCCAATCAATTTAACATTTCAAAATATGAAAAACTTAAATTGATTTTTACCAAATGGGAGCTCCTCGTGGGTTTGGAAAAGAAGAATACAAATTTCGAATATCAAAACCCTCAACAGTTGTCGTCCTCCCAAGAAGAAGGATATTTTATGGTTTTGAGATCAAGGAGAAGATGAGTTTTGGAAATTTGAAGAAGAAGACAGTTTTTGGGAATTGAAGATAAAGAGGGTTTTCAATTTTCAATTTTGGGAAGAAGAATGTTTTCAATTTTCAATTTGGAGAAGATTATAATCTTTGACGTAATTGAAAGTACCAATTTCTTCTTCAATTTGGTTTTAGAAGGTAAGATTATAATAGTCTTTTCATATTTATAAATAATTAAATTGCATTTTATTTTTAAAAATTTGGTCAGAAGCCTCTTGAACAAAAGGACATTGACTGGCGGCCTTCACAACTCATTTTCCTAAATAATAATTAATTATAAATAAATAACTACTCTTTCATCTTCCCTATATAGCAAAAGCCTATGCGAACTCCCAAATCGAATTTCAGGAAGAATATAGAGAGCAAGCGACGACACCGTTTTGAACACGAAAATATAAGTAGGAAGTGAAGAAAAGTGTTAACGAATTAAAAAGAACGACAAGATGGTAAAGACTACGAAGCGAGGCAAAACTATGAGCCCTACCGACGCTTACAGGAAGGAGCTCCGTAAAAAGGAATTAAAAAGGGTACGTTTATATATATATATATATATATCCACCATTTGAATTTTAATTATTTTTCCTAATTATGGTTTTCTTTAATTTCTTTGTCTTAAGTATGCTTCATTCCGAAAATTCCACTGCTACTTTTGATTTTATATTTTGAACGAAAGTTACCTTTTTATTTGATGTTTAGTGGGGCTGTCGATCAAATTTCTCTTTTTTCTGTATTTTTAGCCCCCGTTTGGCCCCCATTTTCTAGAAATGAAAATGCGTGGAATAGTAATTTTTTGAAAAATGAGTGGTTGAAAAAAAAGGAAAAATTTTATATTTACGTGTAATATTATTTTATGAAAGATTGTGTGGTTGAAAATAGGAGAGAAAAATGAAATGTAATGAAATTTAACGTGGGCCAAACAATATCTCTCTTTAGGAAAGAAGTTAATTGGGCACGTGAGGAAATGGTCGACTTTACTAGGATATAATAGTAATTTTTTGGCTAATTTGGATTCGTGGAGCTGTTATAAATTTCTTAATAAGTTGCACTTGACATTAATTGTGTTTGGTTGTTTAATTTAGTTAGTTAATATGAAATGTGATTGTGCATTGTAAATTCTGAGATTGTCATTGATCTTGTAATGCAGAATAAAAAAGAGAGGAAGAACGTGAGGGAAGTTGGCATTTTGAAGAAAGATCCTAAGACCTTAAAAGACCAGATTCAGAAGCTGGAAGCTATGAGTAAGTGCCAAATAATCATGAAATGAGTTTCATTGTATATTATTTATGATTCACTGTCTTGTTATTGAAAATTAATTGGAACCTTTCGTATACTGGGTTGAGCTAGAAAACAGTTGTAATTCATAACAAATAAAAATTCAGTAATGGAAGCAAAATTTTTAGCTTAAAAATATTTTATTGCTAGCCAAAGAACATCAGATATCAGTAAATGGATGGATTTTATTCATTGCACTTATTAGGATGACAAGGGTAGCTTCTAGCATTGCAATTTCTATCAATGAATCATGAATCATGAATCTCATGGTCAGAACATTTGCTCTTTCCAGAACACAGTAGAACCTATAGGTTGATGTGTGTTACTCTGTTGAGGTGGCTGGCATTTTGATTCTGAAACACATCAGCAGCAGCTGCATTTTACTGTTTTTTTTCTAGGTATTGTGTAGTCAATTCTCAAAACCTTCTCTCTGTCTTGCCCTTTATTTACTAATGATCAATTTTGAATATGATTTCTAACTAGTGACTACTATTCAACTTTTAATTGCAATATGGATTTTTGAAGATTAATATATCTCAATCCAAGCTTTATGAACGTGGAGATATGTAGCTGTTCTCATTTCTAGAGTGATTGTATGTTGTCAATGTTTAAGACTTTAAGCTATCTTGAAATTACGTTGAAAGACTTCCGTACTCCAACGTTGAACAGTCTGAGCTAATGTTGAACTGCTTTGACATTTTTGGTAGTTGAATAATGATGAATAGCATAAGAGATTAGAGTTTATGATGAAATGGGACCGTCGCAAGGCAAAATAATATTTTTTTGATTCCATGATAACTTCCGGTTGGTTCGTTTTTTACGAATAGTGAGTCTAATTCGATCGGAATATAGCCAATGAATAAAACTCAGGCCTTCGGCCCTGATGCAAGGCCAATTTTGAGCAAAATCCATCATTTAGGCCCTCGTTTAGGCCTTTTTGCTATTTATGGTAATTTTTGTTTTTGCAATCAAAAAAATATTATTTTGCCTTGCGACGATCCCATTTCATCATAAACTTTAATTCCTTATGCACTTCATCATTCTCCCCAATGTGGGAAAAATTCGCCCTCGAATTTGACGGGAAAGGAGCTTCATCATCATCAGAATTATCACCATGAAATGGCACCAAATGCTTGATATTGAACACGTCAGATGTACGAATATGGCTGGGCAGCTTCAAACGGTAAGCATTTGGATTGATCTTCTCAATGACCTCCAATGGACCAATCTCCGTAGTAAGCTTGTTGTATTTATGAGCAGGAACACGGTCCTTTGTTAACACGCCCAAACAAAGTCACCTACCTCAAATTCAACATGTCGGCGTTTAAGATCCGCAGCACGCTTATACTCAGTGACAGCAGCTTGCAACTGATCATGAGCCTGTGAGTGAACCTGCTGCAATTGCTGAATAAAGTCTTCGGCCTTACCATGCATTTT